TATTACCCTAATATAAAGAATATATATATGTAAAATATATATCCCTTGCCTAAAAAAATATGAGTTGTGTGCATGTGGAACTAGAAAGTTGCTAGAAAGATTTTAAAAACGTTTCTACAGGTTTATTTCTTTGTTTGTTTTTTTTTTTATTTGTTTTTTTTTTTTTTTTTTGTTTGTCTCAACATAAAGATTGAGTTAAACTCACCCACATCAACAGGACTCACACATATTAGCAGAAAATTAAATAATTTACAAAAAAAAAAAACACCCAACACTACATTTAAACGACATACTTTGTTTTCCTAACCTGAACAATTGTTTTAAGCTCCACCCCTGAGGAACAAAAGGGAAAAACCTTTTGCGTCATGAGCGTTCGTATTGTAGATTGAATATGTCCTTAGGTCAAAAATTAAAGGAACTGTTCGAATATAACTGGGAGGAGCAAGGAGACTTGCAAATACTGTCCTTTTGGAGAAGTTTACAGTCAGTTCCTGGATGTGACCATCTGGGGGGTCTATGGCCTTTTATATGTTTTAACCTCTTCTTCTTCTTCTGATATTTGTTTCTCTGCTTTCCATAATAAGCCCTTTTAAGTATACATTATCTGTTCCCTGACCAATATTTGACGTTTTTTTTTTAATTACTTCTGCTGCGATTTTAAATCAGTACCTTGCTCCTAATAGTGGCTCCTCAGAACCTATTTTAATATTAAGTGCAATATTTCAAAAGATGTATTATATATATATATATATATATATACATATATTTATATATTTTTTTAAATATATATATATATATATATTTTTTTTAAATATATATATATATATATTTATTTATTTATTCATTTATTTTATTTATTTTTATATTTTATATATATACTATATATATATATATACATTATATATATATATATATTATATACATTTTATATATATATATATATATATATATATATATATATATATATATATATATATATATATATATATCATGTTCAAGGCTAATTTTCAAAAAATTTAATTGTTAGAGATTTTTCCAGTCTGGCACCATTTTCACCATACATTGTCTGTTCCGTTGCACCTTTCATCAATTTGCGTCATACCTGCTCAGATGAGTAGTCAATGCAAAACTGAAGCCTTTCCAGAACATTTCAGAATCAGGAAAAACACGTTTTCATCATATACACAACACAACAGATACGAAAACGTCTGCATATTCTTCAACATCTTTTTTTTTCAAAAAGATACATTGTAAATATAAATTCACAAACACTTTAACATAAAAAAAAATTGTTATTTCCTCATAGTTCCTGCTATTCAGTTTGCATTTCTAGTAAGTTACATTAAAAAGGAAAAAAAAAGATCACAAATATAAAATTTTCAAAAACTAATAAAAAAAAAAAAATGTTTTAAATATAAAATATTGATAACTTTAGTATTTATGATTGAAAGTTTTGCTGATTTCAATAATTTCATTAAATATCTCATCTTTAGGTTTGTTGTTTTTTTTTTTTTTTTTTTGCTAATTGAAAAACATTACAAAGGAATTAAACTCTCTCAAGCAACAATAAATATTTTTTACATTTTTGTGCTGCCGGCATTAGTAAATAGATAGGAAAGTATATTGTATTTACTTGTTTTAGTGACACTGTACTACTTGTGAGGGTGATGAAGATTTTTATTTTTTTTTACACTGATTGCTGGATCCACTGAACATGGAAGGGTTAGTGTTTGTTTTAGGTTATTATTTTCATTTTTCGTTACAACGTGGAACGTGGGGTTTTTTTAGTAAAAAAAAAAAAAAAATTAGTTTAGAATCAAAAATTTTAATTTTTCAAAAATGTTTTTTACATTTTTATTTTATTTTTTTATATTATTATTTATTTATGTTTTTTTTTGGTTTTAACATACTGTCACCCTAGCAGTATAGTGATACCATAGTGACACTGTACAACTTGTAGGGGGTGATGAAGATTTTTTTTTTTTTTTACACTGATTGCTTTTACACGCATAAAGGTTGTAAAAGCAATCATTTCTCATTCTCTCTGGCTGCATTCTTGCAGCCGTTGAGAAATACCGTGAGAGCTGTGATTGGTCACAGCTTGTCACATGGTACAAGGCTGTTGTGAATAGCCCTGTACCATGTGACCTCTGTGATCATTCACAGATTTCACTCGTAGTAAGCAATGATGTCAGAAGTGACATCTTGATTACACCTATTCAATGTGATCACTGGTTGGCCAATCAGTGATCACATGATCGGGCCCTCACACAGAGATTTCACTAGTAGTAAGCAATGATGTTAGGAAGTGACATCTTGCTTATACTCTTCATGTGATCACCGATTGGCCAATCAGATGTCCTTCCGAAGTGGTTTTTTACGACAAGGAAACAAGAAGAAAAAAAAAGAAAAGTTATTCCTACTCTCCACAGTAAGTATGCTATACAAAGTAGCTTTCTGATTCAAAAATGTCTTTTATCTATGTTTAAAGCACTTCCCGCAGAAGGGAGGCGGAGCAGTGCAGAGCTCCACCCATATTTTTCAACAGACGTAGGAAGGACCTTGCCGTGGTTCTGTTGCTCACAATCTGTGAACTTCACTGCAGATGAAATGGAAAAGTTCTCGGTTCTTGACTTTCTTTGAGGTTTAAACCCCTGTCAAGTTTTTTTATTGTTGTCTATGTTTCTATTTGGGAGATTTCGCCTCACTTGCTGTTGTGCCTCTAAACAGGAAATGAGGAATCTCCCGAATTTTGAACTTTTAGAGCCGTCCTCAGAAAAGTTTTTCAATTGGAAGACGTTCCCCCTAGAGCTCCAACTGGATTCAATGGACTTCCAATGGAAGTAGAGACTACAGCAGGGGCGACTGACAACTCATGGGGTCCCCCAGGCAATAGGGGATCATGGGGCCCCTGTGTCCTTGCCCAAAACTCAAAAAAAACCTATGAAAAAGGTACCAGGGGCATCTCATGGGGCCCCCTACTGACCCCGGGCCCTTGGGCAGTGCCCGAGTTTCCAAATCGTCAGTCCGCCCCTGGGCTACAGTAAACACCAGACAGGGCTTATTATGCTCCCCCCCCCCCCCTCAATCTATACAAAACTAGAAAAAAGTTTAATGCAGGTCATACATGGTTCGACTTCCAAATGATTTTTCATCAGAAAATCTAAAATGTTCCGATGGCGCCATCAATGATTTTGAAATTTTGAAAATTGGCCGACAGAGTCATAAAGTTCACCCCCTATAACAGGGGAAAATTCTGTTCCTTCCAGGTCACGGCTCATGTGCATATTCTTTTTGGAAAAAAAACCGTACGATTTGACCATCATTGAGTCGAAAATTGGTAGTTTTTCAAGAATTTTACAACATGCCGAATCACCGAAAAGGGGAGGAACCAAGAAAAATCGGTAATCCGATGGTGACATCAATGATTTTCGAAAATCGGCCCGACCGAGTCATAAAGTTCACCCCATATTACAGGCGAAACTTCTGTTCCTTCCAGGTAACGGCTCATGCGCATATTCTTTTCAGAAAAACGATTGTACGATTTGACCATCATTTAGTCGAAAATCGGTAGTTTTTCACGAATTTTCCAACATGCCGAATCACCGAAAAGGGGAAGAACCAAGAAAATCGTCCAGTGCTATTGACCCCACTAACAGAGAGAAAATCGGAAAAATTATTCTTAGGTCCAATTTTTGGATGAAAAAATTAGTCGAATTTTGGACCCATGTATGGCCGGCCTTAGTCCTGCTTGAACTCACTTTCAGTATGTTACAAGGTTTTCAGGACAACATTGTTTCTAAGACTGCTGTGTCGTATACAGATTGTGCTAACGCTTCCTCCACCCTTGCATACCCACATGGAAGAAAAATATATTTGAAATATATTCTAAAAATATTCTTCTCAAATATATTGACATAACATATTTTGAAATGCTACAATTTTGTCCATATTCAATATATTTCAAAAATATTTTCAATATATATATATATTTAAAATCTACAAATAAAAAAATGAATGCCCATGCAGTCATCAATATCTCCAACCAAATTATGAGTTAGCATTAGCCCTCTTCGACCAATTGGTTCAATGTCCATTCTGTGATATTTTGTTTACTTATGCTTGAAAATAAATAAAAATTATATTAAAAAAAAATAAAAAAAAAAAAAAAAAATAAGTGTATAACAAATTTAAAAATAAAAAATGACCAAAAAAAATTATATATTTGCTCAATAATTTTATTGTTTTTTTTTTTTTTTACTTCTTTTTTGAAACAGGAAAGTGCATTGGGTTTCTAACTTCCAGGGGTCAACAGGGCTGGATAAACCAATAGTCCTAATGAAAGTCCTACAGGGAGTATAGGAATTCCTCATTATGGGCAAAAGTAGGTATGCAAGCCTGGAAAGAAGAGTCCCTTAAATAAATCTACAAATAAATAAAAAATGAGATGCCCATGCAGTCATCAATATCTCCAACCAAATTATGAGTTAGCATTAGCCCTCTTTGACCAATCAGTTCAGTGTCCATTCTGTGATATTTTGTTTGCTTATGTTGAAAATAAATAAAATTTATATTAAAAAAAAAATAAGTGTATAACAAATATAACACATTTATAAAAAAAAATGACCCAAAAAAATTATATATTTGCTCAATAATTTTATTGCTTTTTTTTTCTCTTTTGAAGCAGGAAAGTGCATTGGGTTTCTAACTTCCAGGGGTCCACAGGGCTGGATCAACCAATAGTCCTTAGTGTCGTCTCTTTGTGTATTGACCTTCCATTTCCTGAAAGGTTCTCCAAAACAAAGGTGTGAGTTGGGCCTAAAGGTTGTTATCGCAAAGCCATTGGAGGCTGTGTTCTTTCTTTGTTGAGTGATTTAGGCCTAGAAAGCATGAATTTAATGAATGGTCAAGTTATCTTGGGTGGTCTTCCCATGGGCTGAGTTTTGAACAGAAGATCGCCATTAAATTGAAAAGCCCTGCAGTGATTGAAGGAACGTTGTTTATGGAAGGCAATCACCATTAGCTATGGTCTTCTGAATCCAGTTTAGGTAATTGCACACCTTGGTGTATATTCCTGGGTAATTGGGTTCCCCACATGGAATGTGTCCCCAAGATGTGACACCATAGAGTTGAGAATTACACACCAAGGGCCCACCAGAGTCACCCTGCAAGAACAAAGATCGAACGTTTACTGAAAGGATCTTCTGGATTGGGAACACAAGGACTAAAAATATGAAAGCTGAACAGGCAAAGAGCTAGTGACACACATGAAATACATTACGTATACGGAACTGCCAAAGCATTTATATTTATGTATGTTCTGTCCTGAGATTTACACCACCAGGGGCGGACTGACAACTCATGGGGCCCCCGGGCAATAAGGGATCATAGGGCCCCTGTGTCCTTGCCCAAACTCAAAAAAGCCTATGAAAAAGGTACCAGGGGCATCTCATGGGTCCCCCTACTGACCCCGGGCCCTCGGGCCCGAGTTTCCAAATGGTTAGTCCGCCCCTGTACACCACTCATAACACTGACCTGTCTGGGAGGACAACCAGCAGTGGTGTATTTAGGTTTCATGCTGCCCTAGGCAACACACGGAGAGACCCTGACACCGACCAACACCCCCCTTCCCCACGAAGAGGGCCTGACATTGACCAACAGCACCCCACCCGAAAGAGCCTTCCACTACCACTGCCCCCCATACACTTGCCACCCCGGCAACAGAGACAAGACACTCACCTTCACAGCTCCAGACATCCCCGGGAACAAGAGTCGGGTTCTGCATACACCATCTAGCAGCCTCTCTTGGACCCCACCTGGTCTCCATGCTGCACGTATCCCTTCTTCCATCCCTTCTTCCAGGGGGCGGCACTTCCCCCCAGAAAAATGTTGCTGCACCCCTGAAAAATGCCGCCCTAGGCAAATGCCTTGTTTACCTTGTGGTAAATACGCCCCTGACAACCAGGGCTGGGTTTCGGTCACAAGAACCTGTAGGCGCACAGCCTTTGGTATCTTAAGCAACACCCCTTTGCTAGGGTCACCTCCTACAGAACATTTCTTTACATTAGGGCTTCTAATCTGACTTAGAACATGCTTAGGTTGCAGTCTGTCAGTCGTAGTCCCTCCCACTGTGTTAATGCTAGCGACAGACTGCTTTTTATTACCCATTTTTACACTTTTGTTCAGTGAGATTATAGTAATATACAGTCGTACCTTGGTTTATGAATTTAAAGCGTGACGTTTCGTATCGCAAAAAATTTTGTAAACTGAAATGTGGTTTCCCATAGGAATGCATTGAAAACCAATTAATCCATTCCGGAGGTCAGAAAAAAGTAAAAAAAAAAAAAAAGTCTTATCTGTTCAAAACTCTTTATAAAGTGCACTTTAAATGCACAAATAATGTACAGGGACATGATTCAAAATTTATTTTTAAATGCATTGAAAACCAATTAATCTGTTCGCCCAGTAGGGGCTCAATCGTAGAGACCTCTGCAATTAAGCACCTACTGGGCAAAGCATGTTAGAGGGTGTCCTCTCATGGGTAGGTCCAAGCAGATGCCACTTTTGCACTAGGAGAACTTAGGTGCATGCCGAGGCAAAGTGTGGACAGGCGCCATTTTGCTGTAGTCCATTATGAGTGACATATTTTATAAACTCCGTCCATGACAAATAAAATGATGCTTCTATGAACTCTATGACATTGAAATGGATGGGTATAGACCAGCCTTTCTCATCCAGGGTGCCCAGGCACCCTGGGGTGCATTGAGGTTTCTCCAGGGGTGCCTTGGCAAAATCTCTGAATATTGCTCAAAATGTGTATACAAGCCAGTGGGTGGGACAAGCCTGCCTTTTAGTTACACAAAGCCACAGGCTTGCATTGTGCACCGTTACGACCTTCTAGCCGCCGGCGTCCTGGCAACCAATGACATCATCAGTTGATAAGGAGGATGTCAGCTGCCTGAACAGAATCCTAGTTTGACCCTCCCCCGCCCCTCTCCATCAGTGCTGGGCCACATTAGCTCAGTGATGGAGAAAAACTGAGGGAGAAGAGAAATATGGGAATACTAGTCAGTACCAGTGTGCAAAAGCGTATTTGTTCTGGAAGAATAAATCACCTCTAATGTTTGGTGTCCTACATATGTGGATGTTGCTGTGTTATATAAAGCTATTAGAATAGTTTTTCACATTTTAGAATGGGGTGCCTCAAGACTGTCCATAAATTTTTAAAGGGTGCCTCGGGAATGTCCATAATTTTAAAGGGTGCCTCAAGACTGCCCATCATTTTCAAGGGTGCCTCAAGACTGTCCATAATTTTTAAGGGTGCCTCAAGACTGCCCATCATTTTCAAGGGTGCCTCAAGACTGTCCATAATTTTAAAGGGTGCTTCAGGACTATCCATAATTATAAAGGGTGCCTCAAGACTGTCCATAATTTTAAAAGGTGCCTTGGGACTATCCATAATTTTAAAGGGTGCCTCAAGACTGTCCATTATTTTCAAGGGTACCTCAAGACTGTCCATAATTTTCAAGGGTGCCTCGGGACTGTCCATAATTTTAAAGGGTGCCTCGGGACTGTCCATAATTTTCAAGGGTGCCTCAAGACTGTCCATAATTTTCAAGGGTGCCTCGGGACTGTCCATAATTTTCAAGGGTGCCTCAAGACTGTCCATAATTTTCATGGGTGCCTCGGGACTGTCTATAATTTTCAAGGGTGCCTCGGGACTGTCCATAATTTTCAAGGGTGCCTCAAGACTGTCCATAATTTTTAAGGGTGCCTCAAGACTGTCCATGTCCATAATTTTAAAGGGTGCCTCGGAACTGTCCATAATTTTCAAGGGTGCCTTGACTGAAAAAAGGTTGAGAAACACTGGTATAGACATTCATATTCATTAAAGCAAGATGGGTCAATATTTGTGGAAAATATATGTTGGCATTATGTTTAGTCTTCTCTTTACATAGAAAGCTTTCATTATATTTTTTATTTCAGTGCGATGGTAACTATTACCTGACAGGTGTCCTTGCCTCCTTCCTGAATTCCAGCACACAGCATGTTGTCTGTTATCACATCGTCTGGATATGCTTCCTTGCAAGCAGAGGCAGAAACCGTCTCCACCCCCACACATTGCAGAGTAGAGGGGTAGTTTTCTGCAGATATAAAAAAAATTTGTTAAACATCTATGGGATACAAGACTGATGGAAGATAAAACATAATGCAGAGGAATATCCAGCATAAGAGTACATTCCATCATTAAGTGAGGGCAGGGTGCAAATATTTTATTCACAAAAAAATAAGAATGGTAAAGGTTTGCAATAGCGGAAATGGGAAGGGGCTATGGTGAACAGTAGAGAATGGCAGACGATGGACCACAAAGACTAAAAATGTGATAGAATCCAAAACAACCAACTATTGTGGAGGTCACTTGTATAACAGGCTCTGAAAACTGGCACTGCACCACCTGAGGTAATAAAACCAAAACTACAACCAATGGAAAACCGGAAGTCTAGAAAGAGTGACACTTGGACTCACGGGGGGTGTCAAACTGGCGGCCCTCCAGCTGTTGCCAAACTACAAGTCCCATGAGGCATTTCAAGATTAACAGTTACAAGCATGACTCCCAAAGGCATGATGGGACTTGTAGTTTCGCAACAGCTTGAGGGCCACCAGTTTGACACCCTTGCACTAAGTCATGGAAAATTGGAACAATGACAACTGAAGTTTCAGAACAATGACGCACTCATAGCAGAGGTCTCAGATTACCACCACACTGAGAGCTGAGGGTCTCGGAAAAATTGAAACACCGGCCATCCTCAGAACAATGATGCACTCATAACAGAGGTCTCAGATTACCACCACACTGAGAACTGAGGGTCTCAGAAAAATGGAACACCGGCCATCCTTAGAACAATGCGCACTCATAGCAGAGGTCTCAGATTACCACCACACTGAGAGCTGAGGGTCTCAAAAAATTGAAACACCAGCCATCCTCAGAACAATGATGCACTCATAACAGAGGTCTCAGATTACCACCACACTGAGAACTGAGGGTCTCAGATTGAAACCAGCCATTGGTTTACGAGTGATCTGAAATTGTCTGAAAAGTGATAGCATGGTCAGCATTAGCAACTCAGAACAAAATTACATTATGGCATCCTGAAACATTTATATCACTGGCACCTGTGGGTTCAATGAAAACTATCAGAGGTATACTCGGATTCAGAAGTGCACCTTGACATTTGGGATCCAGGTGATCAACACACTGAGAACACCTGGGGTTCTAGATCACTAATAAACTGAAACCTCAGGATCCAGGGGAACTGTATAATGAAATTGGGCCCTGGAAAAACTATATCACTGAATTGGGGTTCAGAATACAGAGACTTTGGGTCCCAAGGCAATGGCCTAAAAGACATATTGGTTAATGCAGGACAAAATGAACATACTGACACTGGGCTGTCACGGGGAAAAAAAAATCCGTTGAGGGCTTCATTTTTTAATATGAGTAAATTTGCAGATTTATATTCTTTTGCTTAGTGACCTTCTGGGCTGGTGGTGGTCCCCCATCCAGACACAGGCACACTTGGTTCCATCAGACAAGGCGGAGCAACCAATGGGAATAGTCTGAACATAAGCATTAATGTTGGCCCGGCAATTTAATCAACATGATGTCATTATCATATGTTGTTGCATCAAAGTCTGGGTGAGGACATAACTTATCCATGGAGAACTGGGCTCTCTTCCTTCGTAATTATTTATGTTATGGCCCCAAGATGGATCTGGATGCTTCTATATCACACAATGAAAAGAATGTAAATACACATATCAAGCATGGTGGTTCATCCTATCTATCTATCTATCTATGCTAAGGAATGATCTGTGGTGGGACTCACCTATCTATCTGCAGTACCATTAGCTTATATGAAATTGTAGTATTTCAATCAGAAGTCACTCCTGTCATGGCAAATTCACCTGGGCTGATGACCTCAGGAACCCATGTATTTAAGGAATGGCCAGCCTGTACCAGTGCCTGCCATGTTTATTTCCCTGAGCCCCTGACCTTGTATCCTGTGTTCCTGTTCCTCTGCCTATCTGACTGTTGCAAACCTGTTCCTGACCCTGCTGACCCTGCTCTCCTGGTACCCTGCTGCTTGCCTGACCCATCCTTCTGAATGATACCTCTGTACCTGTGCTGCCCATGAGTTCCTGAACCCGGCTTGGAAGTAACAGACCAATTCTCTGCCTGATCCACTGTACCGTGCTGCCCGTGAGTTCACTGAACCCAGCTTGTGACCCTGATATTCTGCCTGCTCTCCGGTACCCTGTGCCACACTGAGCATGGACAACAGAAAGAGGAGACGAGAACTGTCCTGAGGACCTGAGAACCAAAATTGTGGCAAAATATCAACAATCCCACGGGTTACCAGTCCACTGTCCAAACCTGCCAGCCCCTTCCATCAGGCTGCCCAACATACCCTCAAGGACCCCTCTACCACAGTTGGGTGCACTCAGGGGCTGCGACCTGGTCTCAGTCCTGCGCCAAATCCATCCCCACCATCAGTGGCTCTGGTGAAAAGGCAGACTGGGGCTTAGACTCCGCGCCCTGGGGAATCCTGTTCTATGGGTCACTAGAGATCCCGCCGGGCGGTGCCTGGACAGTACCTTACGGCCCACCTGACCATTCCACCTCTCCAGCCCTGACTACGCCTGTGTTCCTGTAGCCTGCTACTTCCCTGTGTCTGTCCACACACATCCTGGATCCCTGACAGTGGGTCACAGAATACAGAGACTTTGGCTCCTAAAATGGCCTACAGACATGGTAAGCAGGACAAGACTTCTGGCTCTTGGGAAAAAAAAAGGTGAGACCTAAGATAATATTGGTAAATTTGCACATCATTCTTACACTGGGAGGCCTCGGGGTCCGAAAAAAAATGAGGCCTACATAAGAACAAGTAAATTTACAGTTTAAAATATGGTTATGTTTATGCATTACCTTTGGGCTGGTGGTGGTCCCCCATCCAGACACGAGGCAGCTGGTTCCATCAGGCAAGCAGAGCAGCCAATGGGAATAGTCTGAACATAAGCATTCAATGTGACTGGCTCCGGCAATTTAAGCAACATGATGTCATTATCATATGTTGTTGCATCAAAGTCTGGGTGAGGACATATCTTATCAGCATAGGAGAACTGCTCTGTTCCTTCGTAATTATTGATGTTATGATCCCCAAGATGGATCTGGATGCTTCTATATTACACAATGAAAAGAATGTAAATAGACATATCAAATGTGGTCATCTATCTATCTATCTATCTATCTATCTATCTATCTATCTATCTATCTATCTATCTATCTATCTATATCTATTATGCTATCTATCTATCTATCTATCTATCTATCTATCTATCTATCTATCTATCTATCTATCTATCTATCTATCTATCTATTATCTATTATCTATCTATCTATCTATCTATCTATATCTATCTATCTATCTATCTATCTATATCTATCTATTATCTATCTATCTATCTATCTATCTATTATCTATCTATCTATCTATCTATTATCTATCTATTTATCTATCTATCTATCTATATCTATCTATATCTATCTATCTATCTATCTATCTATCTATCTATCTATCTATCTATTATCTATCTATCTATCTATCTATCTATCTATCTATCTATCTATCCCATTATTTATATGAAATTGTAGTATTTCAAATATATGTCAATATATTTGGGAAGAATATTTTTTAAATATATTTAAAACATTTTTTTCTTCCATGTGGGAAATTCCCATAAAAAGTGCAAATTCCTTTGCAAAGTGAACAGCCTATTTGCCTTTAGTAAAACAACACCATAGAACTGTCCACCAACACCCCTTAATACAGTGACGAAATGCACACGCCTTGAAGGAGAAAGGAGTTCATCCTATTTCTAATAACAAGAAAAAACAGTCAACATCTGTTCAATTTTGGGTCAGTTTATCACTTGGAAAGTCAAATAAACTTTTAATTGACACTTATTAAGCAATTGCTTCCCATCACCTATTAGGACTTTAATTGCATTTACACTTACGGCAGTTTACAATGTGCTGCTGTTAAGACCCATTGCTTATCTATTAGGGCTCCACCGCATGCATGGTCATCAAAGTACTGAAGGGTAGCTTGCCAAGGAACAGAGTTGGCTTTGCACTCATATCCACCGATGATTCTGTGAGAAATATAACTATTTACTGTAGGAAAAAAAAACAAATGTACAGAAGATCACTTAGAAATTTTAGGCTCATTATATTTCAACTTATGAACTAAACATAAAAAAATGTTCATGTTGTAATGAAGGAAGCTGGCTTGTTGGTGGCTTTAGGTAAATATTTCTACATGCTAAAAGTCATCAAGATCTTTTTGATTTCCACGCCGGAACCTGGATAGTGCCTCTTAATTAGCCTTGTTACAGGTTTCGCAACATCATAAATAATTGCTAAAAAAAAAAGTTAAAAGTTGACTTTTTTTATTCTTTATGGATCATCTAACAACCACTTAGTTTAGTGGAGATGGTTTTGAATGTGGTGGCTCTATGACTTCCCTTCCCTTTGCCCCTCCCCTTTCACTCCATTCCCCTCTCCTTCCATTCCTTTCCCATACCTGCACCCTTCCTTCCATTCCCACACCTGCACCCATTCCCCTCTCCCTTCCATTCCTTTCCCATTTACCATACCTGCCTTCACCTTCCCTTTGCCTCCACCATTCCACTCTCCTTCCGTTCCCATACCTGCACCCTTCCCTTTGCCTCCATCTTCCCATTCCCATACCTGCATCCCTCCTTTGTCTCCACATTCCCCTCTTCTGTTCCCATACCTGCACCTTCCCTTTTGCCTCCATCCATTCCCCTTTGTTCCTTTCACACACCTGCACCTTCCCTTTGCCTCCACCATTCCCCTCTCCATTCGTTCCTTTCCCATACCTGCACCCTACCCTTTGCCTCCACTATTCCCCTCTCTTTCCTTCCATTCCCATACCTGCACCCTTCCCTTTGCCTCCACCATTCCCCTCTCCCCTTCCTTTCCCATTCCTTTCCCTTTCTCACACCAGCACCTTTCCTTTTGCCCTCCACCATTCCCCCTCACAATTTTTGTCCAATTTCT